TGATGTACTTAAGGAAGAGAATGATGCAATCGTTCTTGCTGTTGGTTCCACAAAACCAAGGTAATATTTTGTTTTAAACTAGGGTGAATTTATATTTATGTTATCAGAAGTTGAAATGGATTATTGTGAACGAACTGAGACATTGTTGGGGTAATTTTGCAGAGATCTTCCAGTGCCTGGTCGTGATTTATCTGGTGTTCACTTTGCCATGGAGTTTCTTCATGCAAACACCAAAAGTTTGCTTGACAGCAATCATGAGGATGGCAATTACATTTCTGCAAAAGGGAAAAAGGTTGTCGTTATTGGTGGAGGTGATACTGGAACAGATTGCATCGGAACATCTATCCGCCATGGATGCACCAACATTGTAAACCTAGAGCTTCTTCCTCAGCCACCTTCAACAAGAGCTCCTGGAAACCCTTGGCCACAGGTTTGTTTCAGATCTTATACACTCAATCCTTTTAGCAACTTCTTCAAGATTTATGCATCCATTAGATTATAAGACTTGTGGGCAAGTTTGGATATTGTTGATTTTAATGAGCTTCCTTCTGAATATAGTGGCCTCGTGTGTTCCGTATTGACTACGGACATCAAGAAGCTACCACCAAATTCGGAAAAGACCCTAGAACCTATGAGGTCTTAACCAAGAGGTTCATAGGAGATGACAATGGAAACGTGAAAGGGCTTGAAATTGTGCGAGTGAGTTGGGAGAAGGATGATACCGGGAGGTTCCAGTTCAAGGAAATCGAAGGCTCTGAGGAAATAATTGAAGCAGACCTCGTTTTCTTGGCCATGGGTTTCCTTGGACCTGAGCCAGTAAGTGATTCTCATTGTTGTACCCTCTTCTCTTACATTGTTGGCCTTGTGGCAATGATATAAAACCAATTGCTTGTTCTTGTTTTTACAGACACTTGCGGAGAAGCTAGGACTCGAATGCGACAACAGGTCGAACTTTAAGGCAGAGTATGGCCGGTTTTCCACAACTGTGGAAGGTGTTTTCGCAGCAGGTGATTGTCGGAGAGGCCAGTCTTTGGTTGTCTGGGCCATCTCAGAAGGACGTCAAGCTGCAGCTCAGGTAGACAAATTCCTCACCAAAACCGATGATGACGAAGACGCCAAGCTACAACAAGACCTTAACCAGATGAAACACAACACTATCACAAACTGAGGTAAAGAAAGCCTTACTCATCTGAAGCAAAAGTCGAGAGAAAGACAACCGATTTGGCGCTTTTAGAGACAGAGTTGCAGAGGAAAAAAACTGCACTTGATGGTTTAGGAGAGAAGTAAAAGTTTAGGTTGTTTTTATTTATTATCCGTCCATAAAGTAATAAATGATTCATAAGTACATTCTCTTTGTAGGATTTTCAGTAGCTTTCTTTTGTTAAAAAGCTTTCTGAATGTGAAGGCCTTTTGTTTTGTCTCTCTATGGCTGTTTCTAAGTTTGAATTTTGAAGGAATGGTAATGCATAGTTTCTGGTTCTTTTTTTTGCTCTCTTTCTCTTTGTGTCTCCTTTCATGTTATGGTGGAAAGTGTAAAGAAGTAAGAAGTGTAAACAATGGTAAGGAATCATAAAGCTTGCATCATATTGTTGGGATTATTAGTTAAGATTAAGAAAACAAACAAGATAAGTAAAAGCTGTTTGTAGTTAGTCCGCGACAGAATTCTTCTATTTTTCTTTGTCTGTACTCTGTGGTCTGTGCCACTATCGACTACATATTATGAATGGTAAATAAAAAGCGGTCCAATCCATAGACGGTTTTGTCCGTCTCAACCGCCGCAACCATTTGAAACCCTATGTGTCATTCCTCTGTTGTCTCGTCTTCTTCAACAAAAGACAAAACCAAATAAGTAAACAAAAAAAATTAAGTGAAGCGGTGAAAACAAGAGAAAAAAGGTGGCTCCTTTTTGTTTCTGGAGATGCGTTCTTGTGACCCTTCATTGAAATTTAGGGTTCCTTTACTCAGATTTCGAGTTCGTTGTGTTTGAATCTCTATTGGGTTTCTCTCTTTATTCGATTTGGGGAAATGGCTGATTGGTATCAGCTTGCACAGTCTATAATCTTAGGTTTGATCTTCGCTTACCTTCTCGCTAAGCTAATCTCTATCCTCGTCGCGTTTAAAGACGAGAATCTCTCACTCACTCGTAACCACACGACTCAATCGGAGTATGAGAACTTGCGGAAGGTCGAATCTTCAACTGCGATTAGCGGCGAGACTGATTCTCTTATAGCTGAGCAAGGTAGTTTGAGAGGTGATGAAGATGATGATGAAGAAGATGAGGACGATGATGATTGGGAAGGTGTCGAAAGTACAGAACTTGATGAAGCATTTAGTGCTGCGACGGCTTTTGTAGCTGCTGCTGCATCGGATAGGCTTTCGCAGAAAGTATCAAATGAATTGCAACTTCAGCTTTATGGATTGTATAAGATTGCTACTGAAGGACCTTGTACTGCTCCTCAACCATCAGCTCTTAAAATGACTGCTCGTGCCAAGTGGTTTGTCTAATACTTTGATTGATAAATCTGATTCAGATGTTTGGACTGTGAAAGATGATTGCTTGGTCATGTTCACTTGTGATGTCCTGATGTTTCTTGATCATGGATGTATGTTATCTTGATGTCACCAAGTTTGAATCTTGCATTGCGAAAGTATCGAAAAGGATTTCTTTTGTTGTTGTATTAGTTGGTAATCTGATTCAAAATCTTATGAGTGTGAAAATACTTGATCATGATGAACTGATGATTCTTCATTGTGGATGTATCTTGCATCGTGAGAGTATCGAAAAGGATTGCTTTTTCTTGTTGTATTGATTGGTAATTTCTGGTTATGCTGCAAATTTGGTCTTAGAAATGCATTTTGATTGACTGAGACTTGTTTTGTTTTAGGCAAGCATGGCAGAAATTGGGTGCTATGCCTCCTGAGGAAGCAATGGAGAAGTACATCGAGCTTGTTACTCAGTTGTATCCAGCTTGGGTAGATGGTGGCTTGGTTAGTTGTCTCATTACCCTTGTGTTACATTTCTTCAGACTGTTTGTGAATGATCTGTTTCATTTCTTAATTCTCTATCTAGATTTCTTGACTTGTTTGCTTTGTTGCGGACTTTTAGAAAAGAAGAAATCGGAGTGGTGATACTGCAGGCCCCATGGGGCCGGTGTTTAGTTCATTGGTGTACGAAGAGGAATCCGAAAATGAGTTGTAAGGTTTCTAAGCAATTTACTTACTAATTCCAATATCTTCAAGAACATTTTTCCCGAGTTCTCTATATGACTAGATGACTAGATCAGAGAAGGACTATATATATCATAATACTCACCTTAGGTAGATCAAAGAATCACTGTAGAAGCTCTATTCATTCTTGCGTTTTTACTCTTTGTTGTTTCATGTTCCAGGAAGATTGATGCGATACACGCCTTTGCTAGAGAAGGAGAAGTCGAGAATCTATTGAAATGCATAGAAAATGGCATACCAGTAAATGCAAGAGGTTAGTAGTCACTACTTGCATCATTTCACAAACTGTTCGGATTTGCATTGGAAATTTCACGGTTTCTCCATCTTGGAAATGTCAGATAGTGAAGGTCGAACACCGCTGCATTGGGCTATAGACCGTGGCCACCTGAATGTTGCTGAAGCTCTGGTTGACAAGAACGCCGATGTGAACGCTAAAGTAAGTAAATAACCAAAACCCCAAAACCAATTCTTTCCCTCAATTACAACAGGTTTCAGTGTTTTTTAGCTAACAAACTTTGTGTAGGACAATGAAGGCCAAACCTCTCTACACTATGCGGTTGTGTGCGAAAGAGAAGCACTCGCAGAGTTTCTGGTGAAGCAGAAAGCTGATACAAGCATTAAAGACGAAGACGGAAACTCGCCTCTTGATCTCTGTGAATCAGAGTGGTCTTGGATGCGAGAGAAGAAAGATTCCAATTAGGGGTTTTATAAGTCTTTAAATTGTGTGTTAATCAATGTGTTAAACAAAACTAGATGCTTGTTTTTTTTTTTAAACCTTTCCTCTGAATCTTTGCTTCCTCTTAAGTTTATATGTTTTTGACATACAACAACACGTTACATGATATAGTAACTCTAGTTTTATTGGTTACTATATATTGAACCCAGAGAGATCATCATTCATCATAACTCAATAATAAAGCTTTAAAGTTTTTTTCTTTTTTCTTTTTGACAGCAAATGCTAAAAAGTTTAATATAATGTTTCTCTCTTTAGTTCGTGGCCCTTTCATGTTTTTCAGCCATCTGAATCATTATTATCATATCTGTAAAATAATTTTGTTGATTAAAATTAAGTATTTCTCGTATTATTTTATATATAAAAAAATGTTCTTCTTTGCATCTCGCTGTAAAACAATCTGGACCGTTGATTTATTAACTATGAGAATATATAAGGTGGGGTTCAGATAAGGACCACCCAACACGCGATGTACGACATAATCACTCCAGATTATATAAATTCTTTAATTATAATAATATTTTCCTTTTTTTTTAATATATTGGTTAATTTAGAAAAATATTTTCCCTTTTTTATTAAAAATATAAGATACACTGAACAAAGAATAATAGAATGGAAACAAATTTTCAAGTTTAGAAGATTTACATAATTATCAAAAAATAAGATCTATATAATTGTTTTTTATATATATTGGGTAATTTTTATATCATACACTTAACAAACCCTAAATATTCGATTGAGTACAAAAAATACACGATTGGAAATAAATCTCAATTTTTTTAAAAAATTAATTGCATAATTAGTTGTGTAGAAAACAATTTTGTATTAATATTCCTTACCAAAAAAAAAAATTTGTATTAATATTTGGTTAAAAGTTTAATAATAAAAAATTTAAGTCCATCTTCACATCCAATTCTTCTCTTCTCTCTCTCTCCCCTTTTTCGCTGGAACTGTTTTTTCTTCTCTCTCTCTCTCTTCCTTCTGGGCTTCTAGGGTTTGTCCTCTCCCAGTCCCCGATTTCCGCTTTATCCGATCGGCCGCCGCCGAGATTCTAGGTAATCTTCTTCACTTCATCTCTTCAACTCTCTCGATAAGATCCATCTTCAGATTCATTAGTTCCCAATTCGCTTTTTTTTTTTCTGATTCGATCTCGATTCGTTCAATCATCGATTTCCAACTTTAGTTTCGATTTGTTCACTGTTTTATGATTTGAAGCTCGTTCGTTATCTAGGATTTGGTTTTCGATTTTTAGTCAGATTTATTTGTTGATTTGGTCTTCTTAGTAACTAGTTGATTTCGTTTTATATTCGATTTCGTGCTTGGATCTGTGGTTATCACTGTTTTAGTCGAATTCGATAGTGTTTTAAGTAGCCATGGCTCGTGCTTTGATGTCTTATTGTTTCCATGGTGTTTTCGATTCTAGTTTTAGGCGCAGGCGATAGTGATTTAGTAGTTGTTTCACCTTTGTGGCTTTTTGTTGCATAAGCTGGATTGTAGGCGAGTTTCTTCATATTTTCTTTTTCAGTTTTGCTGAATCTGTTTTGTCTATTGTTTCTGTTGTAGATATATCTTATGGCAATGGAGGTTACCCAGTTGCTCATTAATGCTCAGTCGATTGATGGAACTGTACGTAAGCATGCTGAAGAAAGTCTCAAGCAGTTTCAAGAGCAAAACCTTGCAGGTTTCTTGTTGTCGCTTGCTGGAGAGCTTGCAAACGATGAGAAGCCAGTAGATAGCAGGAAATTAGCCGGTTTAGTCCTAAAAAATGCTCTTGATGCGAAGGAACAACACAGGAAGTATGAGCTTGTTCAGAGATGGCTGGCTCTAGACATGTCGACAAAGTCGCAGATCAGAGCATTCTTGTTGAAGACACTATCAGCACCTGTACCTGATGTTCGTTCGACTGCATCTCAGGTTATTGCCAAGGTTGCAGGTATTGAGTTACCACAGAAGCAGTGGCCTGAGCTCATAGTGTCTCTTCTCTCAAATATTCACCAGTTACCAGCTCATGTCAAGCAAGCCACTTTGGAGACTCTTGGATACCTATGTGAAGAAGTGTCACCTGATGTTGTTGAACAGGAGCATGTAAATAAGATTCTCACAGCTGTTGTTCAGGGTATGAATGCTGCTGAAGGTAATAATGATGTTAGACTTGCTGCAACCCGTGCTTTATACATGGCTCTGGGATTTGCCCAAGCAAATTTCAACAACGACATGGAGCGTGATTATATCATGAGAGTCGTGTGTGAAGCAACCCTGTCCCCTGAGGTGAAAATTAGGCAGGCGGCTTTTGAGTGTTTGGTATCTATTGCTTCCACATACTATGAGAAGTTGGCGCATTATATGCAAGATATATTCAACATCACGGCTAAGGCTGTAAGAGAAGATGATGAGTCTGTTGCTCTACAGGCAATTGAGTTCTGGAGTTCTATTTGTGACGAAGAGATTGACATCCTAGAAGAATATGGTGGTGAGTTCGCTGGGGATTCTGATGTTCCATGCTTTTATTTTACTAAGCAGGCTCTCCCTGGGCTTGTGCCTCTACTGCTGGAGACTCTTCTTAAGCAAGAAGAAGATCAAGATTTGGATGAAGGGGCTTGGAATATTGCAATGGCAGGTGGGACATGCCTCGGTTTGGTTGCTAGGGCCGTTGGAGATGACATTGTACCACATGTCATGCCGTTTATTGAAGAGAAAATATCAAAGCCTGATTGGAGAGAGCGAGAAGCTGCAACTTATGCTTTTGGTTCCATTTTGGAAGGCCCTTCTGCAGATAAGTTGATGGCAATTGTTAACGCGGCGTTAACATTTATGCTCAATGCTCTAACAAATGACCCAAGCAACCATGTGAAAGACACAACCGCATGGACCCTTGGTCGGATATTTGAGTTCCTTCATGGTTCAACAATTGAGACACCAATTATTACCCAGGCAAACTGCCAGCAGATTATCACAGTACTGATCCAGAGCATGAACGATGCGCCTAATGTTGCCGAGAAGGCTTGTGGGGCTCTATACTTCCTTGCTCAAGGCTATGAGGATATCGGTCCCAATTCTCCGTTAACACCCTTCTTCCAGGAAATTATTCAGTCACTTTTAGCTGTTGCACACAGAGAGGATGCAACTGAATCACGCTTGCGGACTGCAGCATATGAGGCATTGAATGAAGTTGTCAGGTGTTCGACTGATGAAACGTCGACCATGGTTCTGCAATTAGTACCAGTGATAATGTTGGAGCTTCACAATACTTTGGAAGGGGAAAAGCTTTCATTGGATGAGAGGGAGAAACAAAACGAGTTGCAGGGACTTCTATGTGGATGCTTGCAGGTCATCATACAGAAATTAGGATCTGAGCCAACCAAGTCTGCTTTCATGCAGTATGCAGACCAAATGATGGGACTTTTCCTGAGGGTGTTTGGTTGTAGAAGTGCAACTGCACATGAGGAAGCCATGCTTGCCATTGGTGCTCTTGCTTATGCAGCAGGTCCCAATTTTGCCAAATACATGCCTGAGTTTTACAAGTACTTGGAAATGGGTCTTCAAAACTTTGAAGAATACCAAGTGTGTGCTGTTACTGTGGGTGTTGTTGGGGATATCTGCAGAGCATTGGAGGACAAGATTTTACCTTATTGCGATGGGATTATGACGCAGCTTCTGAAAGATTTGTCGAGCAACCAGTTGCACCGATCAGTGAAGCCACCGATATTCTCCTGTTTTGGTGACATAGCACTTGCCATCGGTGAGGATTTTGATAAGTACTGGAGGTATTCAATGCCGATGCTTCAGAGCGCCGCAGAGTTATCTGCTCACTCGTCTGGAGCCGATGATGAAATGACGGAGTACACAAACTCATTGAGAAACGGAATCCTTGAGGCTTATTCAGGCATTTTTCAAGGTTTCAAGAACTCCCCCAAAACCCAGCTCCTGATTCCTTTCGCACCCCATATCCTCCAGTTTTTGGACAGTATATACATGGAGAAAGACATGTAAGTTTGCTTACCACCCAACTGATATTTATATATTAGTCATAACAGTTGTTTAATTTTGTGGTAAACTGCCTTGTGACAGGGACGAGGTGGTGATGAAGACAGCGATTGGGGTCTTAGGAGATTTAGCAGATACACTAGGGAGTCATGTGGGTGGTTTGATACAACAGTCAGTGTCAAGTAAAGAGTTCTTAAACGAATGTTTGTCTTCTGAAGACCACACAATTAAAGAAGCAGCCGAATGGGCGAAGCATGCCATTACCCGTGCCATATCTGTTTGAAGGCTCTTCTTTGCCTATAAGAAAGAAAAATTCGTTTTGCTTTTTAGTAAAGTCTGCATGCATCTCTGGGTGGGTTGAGTCGGTCGGGGGAGGGGTAGAGCTGCAACAGCCGAGTCACATCAGCATCAGCATCAGCATCATCGTCATCAGTTTCATTTGCATCATCAGCATTACTGGGGTCAGTCAGGGAATCGTTGAGTCGTGGATGGGGGAATGATGAGTTTTGGGTAAATAATGAAACTGGAGGAGTCGCGGGTGAAACTATCCCGGGTAAGGTTAAAGCCCCGGGAGTAGGAAGAGGAGGAAAGAGTTGTGGTCGTTTTCTGGTGGTTTTGGGGATAAAGTTATACCAAAAAAAAAAGGTTTCATCGAACATCTCATAATACATTCTTGTTTTTCTTTTCTCTCATATGTTCTTCAACCCCTTGAGAAGGGAAGGTCTCAGGTTTTTATCAAGTGGGGGCATTATTAGAGGACAATCCCTTGATTTTTTTCTTTTCTTCTTTTTTCTTTTATTATTTGGTTAGTTGCAGTCTTTGCATCATCATTTTGTCTTTTTGGGGGGGGTTTGTATGTTTGATTAAAAGCATTATTCACATTTTTATTTTTATATAAAGAAGTTTCACATGTCTGTCTATCTTCTCTTTGTTATGCAGTTTTAGGGGTTTTGCATATACTTGTGTTTTGTTTGCAATTAAGTTTATATATTATGTCACATACAGGAACATTTATATGGTGTCATGTCTTAGGGTCTTGAAGAGGTCCACGTCTATTTATTATAGAATGAAACTGTTTTCAATCTTTTAGATTCCATTATTTGATTTGGCTCGAACTATATGGGAAAGGTCACATGTTAATAGGAGAAAACGTCCTGCCTTACTCTGCTTCCAAAGAGTCAAGTTAAGAGAAGAAGAAGAACATTTCACATTCACGCTCTGCTTAAAATCTCGTTTATGGATATCTCAATTTTGATTGTTTGTGTTGCTTTTTTTGGTTTTCCTAATGATCCTTAATGTTTTAGACATTTTAAACAAATGCCAAATGCAACTGATACAGAACCTATATTTTGAAAATGTTTTCATGTGTTTTTGAAACATTCTAGACCATTCAAGTTATGGTTTAAATTAGTTTCTCTCGGTTCTATGTATTAGTACAAAACATTTTTTCTATCGACTCTCAGATTTTTCTCTTGAACTATTTTTAGATATATAATGTCAAAAGTCATTGCACAAATCTTTTTCGAATTGATTTACGCGAGAAACTTTGTTTGTGTTGGTATGTTTTTTATTTTATCGTGATGACATACTCATTTAGATCTCACTCAAATAGACTCTGTTCTATCTTTCATTACAAAAACAAAAAAAACAAATAAAAGATAGATAATAGCTAAACATCCAAGAGAAATAGGACACGCCACTCTGACTTAAAATTGGAGTTGAAAAAGATTGGTGGTAATAAGAAGTGGGCCTTTTCTATTGTCAAAAGACTTGTCCAAGCACACCCACATATATCACATACACTGATACTGACACAAAAAAACAACACATTTATGTCGTCCGCGACGATTTTTTTCATATTCAAATAACTTCATTACGGCGTTAATACTTTATTTTGATACTTTTTAACTTTACCTTTAGTCTTTAAATTCAATACCACCGAAAGATATATGAGAGTCGTCAGCTGAAACTGCCAAAAAAATGTGAAAGATCTTTGATGGTCGATATCTCCCGAAAAATCTTACGATCCAAGTTATTTGGTCAAAAGAAACATAATTATTGACTAGTCCATGAACTTCTTGCGACAAAAAAGAGCTCCAAATTTTGTTTTAATAATAATAAGTAAATACATTCTCAGAAGATTAACACCACTTGGGAAAAGTCTCGTGATTTGTCAAAAAAAAAAGGGTGTCTCGTGATTATTATTGGCGTAGTAAACTATGTTAGAGTTTATTTTGTGTTTTATCTTTAAGACTAATAGACGTACGTTTTCGTCGTCGTCTTTTCTGTGTAGTTGACATTGGACAACACAAGTTAAGACACGTACGTTGTTGCCCAATAAAACATTGCTAATTTAGTGGTTCATTATTTTTTTCTTCATCACTCCTTTTAAACGCAACATATAATTGCCGACACATTGATTTTTTTTTTCTACTCATGTTTTCCCTTTATTTTTTTATTTTTGTGAAGTCATGCATAGTCTTAATTAAACTAATGTATCTACATAATCTGTGTGACTTCGGACAGAACTCAGAAGAGTTACAACTTACACGTACGTGTGGTAAATGAAGATTGTTTAGATGGTACATCTGTTATATAGTTAGAGATGACTAAACTAATGTTATGAAAAAGTAGTTTTTTTTTTTTTTTTTTGGCAAAGATGAAAAAGTAGTCTAACACCAATTTATATAGTTAAATCACCAGTAAGTAAAAAAAGAAACAACTTATAAATGCTCTACATCTACTTATGGTTATGGTGAAATATATATAACCATTCATATGGTGACTTTTTGGGGGTAAAAGTTAATTAGTTTTTGCGATTTTAGGTCAAAATACATAATATTATGAGAAACGATGTTTATTATAAAATAAGATTTTTGAGGGATAGTGGTCGCTCACTATAATGGGTCACTTAAAAAGATGCACTTCTCTTATACATTTGCAGGCCACTCGCTATGTCTGTCTCAATCCTAGTTGACTTCTTATAAAGTTGTGAAGGCCGCAATGGAAGGATTAGTTCCACTATTTCTCTTTATAATTTGTATCAAATTATTTAGTGTTTGGTACCACGGATTTTTAAATCTGCCCTAACCATCTTTTGACTTCCTAATTACTTTATTTCTCTGTCTTGGAATTGCCTACCATGTTGGTTTAAAGTACTTGATCGATTTTGACTGAATTAGTCTATATGTTTCAATCATTGTAAAATTTGCATTTACCGCAAGGAAAATGTTTTTATTTCACATTTAAATTTTATGTTATAATATTAGCACTATATATATGCTGATCCTTGTTCTAATATGTCAACTATATCAGTGTATTTAATATAACATCCAAAATTTTAAACACAAATTGGATTAAAAGGTTTTGAGAATAATTATTGCATAAATATAAGTGTTCAAGTTTGGGTATTTGTAGGGTCTTTGTTTGAAAAGTATGTACCCTTGATACAAAACTTCACTTTCGTTTTGATTCATTAACAGCATTAAAACTAACAATAATTACGTACGAGTTTGGTATGATTCCATCTTACTTTTGATAATGGACCCAATTATCTCAATTAGCAGAATTCAATTCCAATAAAATTTTGCGTCGATAAGTAGACTTATGATCGCACGTGGTGGTGCACTCATCGAACCTATGATACATTACAGCTGTATGGGAAAAAGTTGTGAAAACAATGGGCTTAAATGCTAAACCTTAGATTAAAACCGATCATGTAACCAAAATGAAACTTTTTCTTTAAGAAAATATATTGGTTTTGACTAAAATCATCTAGAATGAAACATCACTTAATTAGAAATAAGAATTAATATATTAGAGATAGTGTTTAGAGAAACCGATTTGAATGGTAAAAGAAAAGAAAAAAGAGTTTTCTTTTTTAATGAAACTTAGGGGGAATCGTTTGAAATTTTCTTAATAAACTCAAAGGATATAATGAAAATCTATATGGTCAAGAGAGGAACTTCCACTTAAGTTAATGAATTAGGTCACTTTTCTTGCACCAAACGAACCTTTTTTAATTATAAACTTGATAACCTTATCGAATAGCTAATTAGGGTACAACTTACATTCAAGTATATGCATGATGGTTCACAAACATTTACAGTTAGTTATCTATACTCAAATTCAACTTTTTCTCCTATCTAGCTAATTAACAATATAGCAAACTATTTATATATCAATTATAGTTTTTATACTATTTTATACATAAAAACAGATCTAAATTGATTGGCAGAAAAAGCTAAAAGAGAATGTCGTATATTTTTGTTTGGTCTCAAATAGTTAACGTCTTCTCTATAGTATATCTAGTACTGTCTAATTAACATAATCATAAGATATAAACGGTATACAGAATTTGAAATTTGAACAATGTCATGCGAGAAAGAAAAAAAAGTGTGGTTACTATAGCTAATATATACGATTTTTGTCCACATGCAAGCATAAATAGAGGTAAGCGTTAAGTATTCCTTTTTGGGAGATGTAACACAATCAACAGTTGAGTTGACTTTTTCTAGGGTTTGTGGGTTCATTGCGTTATCCCAATATCTTCTTATTCATCTCATTTTTATTTTTTTTTCTTGCTACTATCATCACCGTTTTGATGTTAGTCTCACCACTGTTTTTAACTTTTTTTTTTCTTTTTTTTTGCGATAAAAAAAAAATCGATATTAACGTGATATTCTTATTTTAAAAAGTTAATTTGATAAGAGCTTTACATGTTTTCATTGTCATAAACAGAACCAACCATCTTAGTCATGGTCATCATCATTGTCGTAGTCATCATCATCACCATTACGACTATATTCTATATGGACCATAACAGTTTCCACCACATAAACTTGACCGTTTATAAAATGGAAACTAGCCTTCTCCTCTCTTTTCATATGAAAACCCATTTTCTCCTCGTTTTCCACTGATTAATTGCATTCTCTCTTAAAAAACAAAGAGTAACCATCATAGAGTAATCATCAAAAACCATACAATTATGCCTCTTAGGATCAATCCCCTATCTCTCCTCTTCCTCATACTCATTGTTTGCTCTTCATCATTTGGTAAACATATTCCTAATCCATCTTTTTCAGTTTATAGTCTTTTTTTTTATTATTTTGGTAAACATAAAGGGATCACTATCGACCTTACGTCCCAACACAATCCATCTCATGGGATTTTGATAGTAGATTTTTCGTCTTTTCTTTATCTCTAAATCGAGTGCCTTAGTCTACCTTAATATTATAGGATGTGAACCTATCATAGTACCACTTGTTAATTATTGTCACACCATAGAATACTTTTTCCATTCTTTCTCCAAGATTAGAACACATCTATGATCTAACCAACGTTTCGTGTTGCAATAAATATGAATCCGTTCTAAATATAGAGATTACTTAAAAAAGAATGTATAATCCGCTGATACAATGTTTTCTTTTGGCCGTATAGTGGAAGGCTCTATCCAGCTTGGAGGCGCAAAGATGCATGAGAGTTTCATGATTCACAAGGTATTTATATATGTAAATGTTGAACATTTATAAGAAATGTTATTGTGTGTCCAAATATTGACAAGACTTTGTAATTAAAAAGAGTGAAGAGATGGAAGTGAAGAAGATGGGTCATAGGAAGTTGATGTTCCACTCGACAGCGGACTACGACGACGCAGGACCCAACCCTAAGCACGACCCAAGAAGAAGGCCCGGAGGCAAGGGTTGAATTCTCGACACAATCATATCTCTCTCTATCTATATATAGTAGCATATATATGAGCACATGCACTAAGATCTATATATATTATATATGAATGACCGTATGTGATGTATCCTCCATTTCTGACTCTTTTTGTTTGAGGATGAGATCAGTGTACAATACCCTTCGGAAACCCGTTCGTGAAAGGATTAGTGTCTAGTGCTAAATCCTTATTTATTATCATCTTATTTCATTAACATATATATAGTCATTATATTCTGTACTTCGTTATATCAGAAAATAAATAAAGAATGTTGTGGTTATTTTTAGTACATACACAGCGAATAAGCGAATAATAATATGAATAGTATTATAATACTAACATCTACAATATTTCACATAGTACCTGTTCAATCTCAAACACATCTCTTACTAATAAAAGGTGGTCATTGAGGCCTCTCAAGCCATCCACATCAGCTTTCATAAGAATCTCTCTCAATTTGCCATGTCAGCGCACTTATAATTATTCAACCAAAAATCATTCAACAAAAGCCACGTCATACCTAAATCAAAGAGTCGTCTCCATTTCAGCTGATCTCTTCGTCTCCTTCTCTAAACAAACGTAGTTAGATAGACGATCTCTCTTCCATATGGTCTTTGTAACGATAGATTCTGTTTTACATTATATTCTTCATATGTTCTACCCAAAAGTCAATTATTTCTCCTCTTATGAACCATTGAATCGTCGTCTCCCGCGATCTCTCACATAAAGTCTCTTCTTTTTTCTTGCTAATAACATCTAGCTTTAATCGGGTTCGTCCTCTCATTCTATAGTGGTGCTATTTTGCTTTGTGTTTGCTCTATGTTGCGTTAAAGTTAGTATTCCTTTTGCAACTTTCCCTGTAAATTAGGGTTTTGAAATCAATAGTATCACAGATGAACTGTGGAGTTTATACAAGACGAGGAGAAGACAAAAGAAGAAATGAATACGTTGAAGGTGAGAAAGACTTCTAAAAGGTTTTGAAATCAATAGATTCTCGACAAGTTTACTTTCAATCTGCTCACATTTTGATGTTCGCAGCCTTTAAAAAAAAGGTTTCTAGATTTCTCTTAAGAATATGTACTTAGATCTAAATTAACAACATTATATGCTATAATATGTTATATCTGTTAATATATCTTTCATAAGGGAAATTTTAGTTGATTAACTGACATGACATATAATGGTTTTCATGTGTTTTGACTTGAATGTAGGAGGGTGATGAAGTATGCAATAGTTGATAAACCTCCAATGAAGCTCAGTCCCTACGTAGTTTCTAACAAGGTTAGTTCTCTCCCTAAAAATAATTATTATCTCCCACCACTCAACATATATATGTGCTTATCTTTATGAGCGGAGAGAAGAAGTAAAATAAAAACATTACAGTCCAAATATGCGAAGCTATAAGGTTTCACTAATGTTTTGCATCTTCTGGTAGACAGTAGGGCACCATAACCTACATTGTTCAATGATGGTAATGGAGGAAACTAATTATGATTGCGAAGTTAAATTCATAGCTTTTAATTAATCAGCTATGCAACAAAAATAAGGTAAGGTCCAAGTTTTCTCTATTTGCTCATCCAATTGTGTTTACAAAACGAAAGGTAATGTTGCATTTTTCATCATTTTAAAATAGAAACAACCAATAAATTTAATTTTAAAGACAAGCAGATTATACTTTAATCGGTCAAATCTTTCATTTTTTTTCCCAAATTTCCTCAATCTTAAGCAATACCCACTCTTATAATCACTTCTACATGTATAATGTTTCAATATTATATGAGTTGTTTTTCAGACAAACGTATGTATGCTTTTAGTGTTAGGTTGAATATCAACAATTCTACCGGTGGTGATCGAAATAAAGAGAAATGATGGTTGTGGACCTTGTGGTGATGATGATGTAATGCATAAAGGACTATTCTCGGGTGCTATTCAGCCACGGCCACAACCGTAAGGAACCATAGTTACTTAGAGTTATATTGTTTCTACAAATTCCAATAGTTAGAAATATACCGGGCGTAGCCCGGATTTTCTTCTAGTAATAATAAAAGGTTTTAACAGCTTGACTCAAATTAAAGGAAAAAAAATGAAGAAGACTATAAATATGTTTATCATAGCTGAAAATTTATATGTCGCTATTATAGCACAGCAAATGAATAAATATTGCAATTACTGATTTCACAAAAGAGGAAAAAAAAAGTGCGCATCCAGGGAATCGAACCCTGGTCAGTACCGTGGGAGGGTACTATGATACCACTACACCAGATGCGCTTTTGGTAATTGTATCTTCTAGTATGTATTTATATTTATATTCGATTTATAAATTTATATCCGAGTATAGCTTCTATGCTCATGAACATACAAAATACTTGGGGTTGGTTATTATTATACATGGTTCACAAGCATATTGTATAATTTACATACTAACACTTAAATTGTGTATGTAAATTATTGAAGAAAACAGAGAAAATGCCTTTTGTTTTTGGTTACAGAATTTACAAGAATTGATTATACAACCCCACATAACTCTCATGACTCCTATCCTTCAACATTTACTTACTTTGTTTCATACATCTTTGTGTCAAACCTCAATTCTTACATTTATAATACATTCAAATTAAATCCTTCTCTTGTCTCTATCGACAACCCAACACAAGTCTTCCTTCTTCATTTATGGACTCATTCCTACAAATTTTTTGAAGGTCTATGTAACCAATGATGGTGTCCTCAAAGACAACATCCTCCAAATTTGCCTCCTCGAATGTCGAACCCGATAACACCGTGTTCCTAAACACCGCACCTTTCAGATTCGATTTCCCAAAATTCACCCGATCGATAACTGCATTCGTGAAATTCACCCCTGCAAGATCATCAAAGTAAACATTAATTAACATTTTGGTTCATAATAGCCAAAATGCTTTCAAATTTCAAGATATAAGTCTAATACCTTTAAAACTTGCTTCAACGGCATAAGCTTTTGACATAACAACTTCAGTCATATCTGCACCATCAAACTTAGCTCCTACCATCAAGGCTGCAGAGAGAGTCTTTCCTTTGAGATTAGTTTGATCATTTGTGTAATCACAGAACCTAAGATCGAGTGGTTTGTCATAAACCCCATTTGCTTGACCTATCGTGTTACCAACGAATGCTTTCTCACACCGGTCTGGTTCTGTTGATAGCGGAGGAAGTCTCTGAAAAAACAAACCATTTATCCAGTTCTTGAAATTCTAAAAACATAGCCATCTTTAATCCAAGTTCCTATGCAGACACAAACATAGAGAAGAGAAAGGGCCATATAATGTGACAGACCTGGTTAGCAGCAATTACAGGAGAAGCTATTGTAAGAGTGAAAGCACAAAGAGCAGCGCAAGCGATACTTCCAAGCTCCTTTATCGGCAACAAACTCTTCTTGAAACCTTCACCATTTTCTCTGTTTTCTCCAGCTGAGGACATAATGCAAATTAAATCAAGAACCATTATTCACATTCACTACTTTAGCTTTACTTAAAAAGCAAGATTTTGACATAACACAATTGATAAACCCATCTATAAAGATGAATTAGGTGCAGGTATAGCTAAAGATTCTTGAAACTACTTAAAATTTCAAAGAATCGCAAAACCAAGAAGAAGTAGAAGAAAGATCTTGAAATACCAATAAAAGCAGAAAAATAAGAAGGTATTTACCGGAGCAATGTACTGTTACTAAAGATCTTGGCTCATGGCGGAGTTTAACGGAGAAAAACGGTGAAGACAAATGATTCCTCGTGAATTGAACAGGAAGCGAAGCCATGGGAGTGTTTCAGATTTTTTGTCCGAACTTGGACAACCGTAGAGTTTTATCAATTCGTTATGGATCATGCCTATGACGTGGCATGACAGATCATATCACACAGACTATAAAATAAACGATTTAGCCCATTGGGCCTGGTTACTATTTGGTCCATTAATAAAATCTTTTATCGGTTTTGGATATAATATCAAGTACCAGCCCATCGGTTAAACCTCTATATTATTGATGACTTGTAATCCACGCAGATATATGATTTACCATGCTAAATACTTAATTAATAGTAATTTATTTTAATATTTTTTTTGTTAATGTTAAAATAATATTTATATTTGTATTTATTACATTAAAACGAGACTTAAATAATAATTAATTAAATTTGTTTTTGAAACTAAAATTTATCTTTGTGCAAGCTAATAAAAGATATTTAAAAATATTTGATTATTATGAGAATATCTTCTTCAAATTTAATGTATATTATATGATATACTCGGTATATTATTAGTAAGATTTTTGTTTCCAAAGTTTATCGGATCCTTCTTGGTCAAGTAAAAGTTAAAACCCTAGATCCCTATATATATATATCCAGCAAGACGCTACTACATACATACATTCCTTGACCATGGCTCCTCCGGCTCCAACAGAAGAACAGACACTCACGCGTGTACAAGAGCAGATCCAGAAGTTGACAACGGCTGTGCAAGCTCTCGCCCTCAAGCAAGAGGATTACGTATTTACATGAATGCCCACAAGCCACAAGAAAAGTCCGATAATGATGAAAGTGACGAACAAAACCCTATCATTATCATAGAACATTCTGAACTTCCGGAATTTCATGGTGAACAATCGGCTGAAGAGCTTCTCGATTAGATGGTCACGGTTGAAGAGACTCTTGAGTTGAGATGTATACCTTTGGAGCGAAGTGTTCCCATGGTTGCTATGAGATTCCGCGGAACAGCCTCAGCTTGGTGGTCGCAACTAAAAACGTCGCGGGCACGTTTGGGTAAACCTAAAATCTTGTCGTGGGATAAGTTGAAGAAGAAGATGCGTAAAACGTTTTTTACCATTCAATTATGATCAAGAGCTGCTCCAAGGCTTACACATATTGCGACAAGGATCTCGTTCAGTAGAAGAATACTATACCGAGTTTTTTTCACTATCGACTCGTGCTGATATGCATGAGTCGGACCAACAGATTGTGGCACGTTTTGTTGGCGGCTTGCGGGAAGGGTTCCGACCCCATCTTAAGTTGTTGAACCCCCTCACTCTTGCAGAAGCTCATCAACAGGCTCTCATCGTGGAAGCTAAGAAGAAAGGAAGAATTTTTAGAGCTAATGTTAGGGACAAGGTACAAATTTTTACATTCGGATGGTGTCTGGCGACATTTACGACTATCGGTGTTTTCACTGTTTTAGACTTACGTCGTTAGATCTTACTTATCTTTTATATATTAGACAATAATTTCTTTCTCCGTAGCTAATTTTCTGTGACACAACAATCTCCAAACATTCAACCACAAACTCTTATAATAAGAGAGGCCTAAGACAAGTTTCAGCAATTCGTGTAATTCAAGTTACACCACAAACAAGTTTTACTGTATACAAAATTTACAACTACAATACCCCGGAGCCTCTCTTTGAGATGGAGAGTTCTTACAATCTATTGATTTGTCTCTTATATAATAAGTGGAAATCAAATCTAAAACAAAGCTATATAATAAACTCACCTACACGTTAGAGACTCAAATTACACATAATCAACGAATCAATAATCACTACGTTAGAAAATTTATCAAATCAAAATCCTAAAAAAAAGGATCTTAGGAGAAGGCATTGGAAGATCTTTCTTGTGGAAGTAACGTCAACATCTTTCTCCTTCAACCACTACTTTCCATGATCACTACTTTGCCTCTTGGTTTTTGGACCCTACAATAATCGCCTGTCAATTTTCAGACAAATCCGTACTGTCTAAAAACCATCTCCAACCGCCACTAATTGCCAAAATCAGAAACATCTGTTCCTTATCATCTCCTGCGTCTACATCAACCGATTGAAAATCTCTCCCACTGACCACTTCTTGAAAGATTTTTCAACAAGATGATAAATCTTGAGGAGAAGTAACAGAATTGAATCACTTTTTGACTAATTGATGTATCTCCAGAGATCTAAGAGTGGATCTGGTTTTGGACCCACCATAGCTTCAAGATCTGCTAGAACCATGTGCTTGTGCCTATCAAGATAGGAACAATGGCATCTGATTTGTTTTCCAATGTTAGGAAAACGAAACCGTTTTTTTTCAAGTAGTCACAGGCAAGCCGTAGTTCTGAAATGTTCTGATTCGTCCATCCCAACCACCTGTGACTATGACCATACCCCAAGATAGAGAGCTAGATGCTCTCTGGTAAGAGGACTTGAGAAACTTGTAATGAGATGCATTCATCGCGGATGTAGACAGAGGATTTGCGGGTAGGTTTTCCTCTGGCCATGTCGCGCTTCCTTTGGATATTGATCCGGGGACAAAACCTTCGTTGAGAGATAGGCAAGAGGGAGAAGAAAACGGGAGAGTTGTGTTGTGATCCAAGAATCCACACCAGGTTGCTGCAACTGATGCATTGGTGGAGAAACGTTCAAAAGATCGAATCTTTTTGGTTTCTGATTCCTCATCATTGCTCCATATATATACATTGGAGTCCTCACAAGCTGAAACAATGTGTTTTCCATCAGATGTGAGAGACGCTGATGTGAGGCTTCTCGTCTTGCAAACGCCTAAAGATAAAAAAAAAAGCAGAGATGTGCTTAGCTAAGAATCAATCATAGAGCTACGTAAAAGAAAATGAAAGTTTAAGGTAACATAAAAAGAAACATACCTTTGTATTTTCTGACGACATTGTTGCCTTGGATAATTCTGACTTTGGAATCGGCGGAAACAACCAGGACTTTGCTCGGGTCTTGTGGTAAAAACTGGAAAAAACATGTACATCGATTTGTTAACATCAAACTATTTCAAAAGAAGTAAACAAAGTATCTAGAGAAGGGGAAAAACATAGGAGACATTACCTGAAACCCAGTAATCCTTTTATTTGAAGACTTCTTTTTGTTATGCAAATGTATCTGAGAGTCCAGTTCTAAATATTCTCCAGACATGTTAAAGAATCTACAACTTCCGGTCAGAGAACCGATAATTCCTCCTTGTCCATCCGGACGATAACACACTGCCGATATAATGTCTTTGAGATCTGCCCAATCAACAACGTTGCAACCAGAAATGTTCCAGATTCGAACTTTTCCATCAATTGAACCACTCATGAAGTAATTCTCATTTACCGGGTTGAACTGAACAGAGGTTACTGCAAAAAAAAAGAAAGTTGCAGGCAACAATAATGTCAGATCAATGTAGCAACTGAGATTAAAAAAAAAAATGTAATCACCGAGAAGAAGAAGAAGCATACCATAACTATTGTGAGCAAAAACTCCAAGACAAGCATTGCTACCGACTTTCCAAAGCCGGACAGTTTTATCCATTGATGACGAAAGAAGATACTACACCAAGAAATTACATAACAAAATGCCTCAGTTATTTCTCTTCCATCAAAGCAATGGATGCAAGTTAATAAGAAAATGCATAAAGATTTTGGAAGCTTACATTATCTTTTGACCATGAGATGTCCAAGACTTCACCCGTGTGCCCGCGGAATTCATATAATGGTTTTTCCATTATCCGGAAAACTTTAGGAGGGAAGACAACGCAGGCTGAATCAGATGTTTTCCTGAAACTTTCTGTAGTCTTCTTTGGTTTCTCCTCATTCACCAAAACCGGTTTCAACTGAGAAAGATCATTTACCTCAAAGTACATACACGAAGGGTCTATCTCATTAAGGCAATCCCTTCGTAGTCTAGATCTCTTATCCTCCACGACTTTCCACACCCGCACAATCCCATCTTCACCAGAACTTGCAAGAAACTTCCCATCGTCGCTAAATTTCATCGCCAAAATGGCACCATCATGAGCTTTGATGTCTTGACTCTGATATAGAGCTGAAAGCTCCTTTGCCTGTTTCTTACAATGCTTAACCTTAACTCTTGAAATCACATCACCATAACCAGAAGAAGCTCTGATTCTACCACCAGATTCAATCTTTGTATCCGCGGTACAGCCCATAGACCGAAGCCTCGATAACCATCCCTTCTTAAATCTCGTGACTAGCCCTGCGATATTCCTCTGCTTCTCGGTTTCCTTCACTTGGCAATACCTGGAATCAGAACATGATGCCATCGAAGAGCTTTGTCTTCTCGCTACATCACACCCACCCACATTTCTGTCTACTCTCAAAGACAATTCCTCAGAAACTTCAACACTTGAACCAGACAACGAAACTTGACTAGAAGAACTGCTAAAACCTCCAGATCTCTCCTCAGCTTCAATAGAAATCTCTTCAGCTCCATCAAAACCAGACTCCACACTACTTACAGAGACCGAATCCTTCGACTCAACACGATCTTCCTCTTCAACTCCCATCCACTCCAAGAACTTCCTCCGCCTCTCCACAACACTTCCAGGTGAATCATTCCACACATCGAAACCGAAACCACTTGGATTCAATGCCATCATATCTTCGTTGGCATCAAAAAACTGCAAATCTTCCTCTTGAGACAAGTAATCCATTATTCCTTGAGCAATTGTCAATCCATGAAACAGAGCTTAAAGAAGAATGCTTTTCTCTCAAAAGAGGAATTTCCCCAACTGCCAGTTTTGCTTCCAAACAAGCAACCTACAAGGCAAACTATATATAAAATTGTAAGAAATAATATTTTAAGAAAATTGTAAGAAGTTTATAAATTAAGCAATCACAGAGTTCGAGATAAAAAAATCAATTTTAAAAAAGAAATCAAAAGAGTTTTAACATCAATCTCAATCCTAAAACCCATTGAATCTAGTCTCTCTCTTTCTCTGAGGCATTTACACAAACAACTTATGTGGGTCGATAAATGTGTAAGCAACAAACCCATCAAAAGAGAGAAGAAAAATGGTTTCTTTAGCACACAGAGAAGCTGAAATCAGCAATAGAAAGTGAAAGATCTCATTTTTAGATCCTAAGTAACAAATCCGCAACAAAAATGCTTGCGCACGAGAGCATAATCAATTCAAAAAGAAATGATTTTTTTAACAAGATTAAAAATTGCGTACATGGGTTGGTTCGTCTTCACGAGGTTTCTTCGAAATTGGAACAAAAAACACATCCCAAAGAAGTAGCTGTGGTTAGAGAGTCTAAACAACACACACCATTCCAAAAACCAGAACTTTAAAAGAAAAAAAAAGTAAAAGAGAGAACTTTTTATTATTAAAAGAAGAGAAGAGAAGGATCAATCAAAGGTTTTTTTTTTTTTATTGAAGTCTGTGAAGAAAGAGACAATAAGGAAGAAGAAGAAGATGGGATTGTCCGGAGGGAATAGAGAGTTTTTGGAGACGAATCTTTGTGTGTGTGTGACCGTTTGCTTTGCCTTATTTAACCTCTCTGTCTTTATTTCAATTTTTGTTTTCTCTCTTCAAATTATTCGGTAATTAATCTGTTAACCCACACGACCAAATATTTTCGTATGAAAATAATCATGTGTTATCAATTTAAGATCTTTTTTTAATCTCCTCGTGCTCTGTCTGTATAGTAATACTGATTACTGATAAGTAATAAATGATTCCCACTCTATGTGATTAGGAGAATTAATTATTTAAATATGATTCTATTTTTTTTTTGAGAATTTTTTGAAGTTATTTGAATTGTAAATATTAAATTATACTTTTGATAATTTTTTATGAGATGGTGATGATATTATAGATAAATTTCATTCATTTTCATTACATTGTCTATTTTTGATCTCTTTTATGGATTCGAATCGTTACGATGGATGTATGTATAACGAATAAAATAGTTCAAAATCGTTTGTAAATTGAACTGTTTTTATTATCGTTTATAAATTATAATTTGTAGTAATGTAGACTAAACTATATTTAAAAAATTTGATGCAAACCGACTACATACTATTTCTGTATAAAAATAAATTTGGTTTGCGATGGATTATTGTTCGTCCAAAATTAGCCTATATGGTTTTACCAAGGCAAGGACTATAGAGGGGGATACTCATCATCAAAATAGATTCTTCAATAACATCCATCAATTTCTTCTTCTGATTATTTACGTTCAATAATTCTTATTCGTTATGCGTAGACATCTTTTTAATTTTGTAGTATTTATAAAAAAAAATTGTGGTACATGCTTTGTTGGAGCCCACATATCTGCATGATGACTACGCGGCATGTTCCCCATTCGCTTTGCCTTTGATCAGATTCTAACTATAATCCTTTGATCTCAATTATCTGTCACATTAACAATCTAATTTCCAGTTGTTTGATACCTTAATTATTCATCTTTTCATAAACTAAAGTTCTTTAACTTTATTTATTTGCCTCTTAGTACTCTGTGATTGTTTGGCAGCACATATGGAATATTTGTTACTCTTTAAGTGATCATCATAGAGATTTAGATTAATATATAGGATATGATTTTTGGGTTGACGTTCCTTATATCAAATTTAAAATAACAATTAGGAAATATGAATTTTATGAAACCTATAATTAAGAGAATACTATGATATATCTATATCTAATCATTTAAATGAACCAAATAAAACAAAACCGACAATATTAAAACGAATTGTACTATATATCAAGTTTTTAAAAATAATTTTATCAACATAATTTACGACTAAAGTGCCGTCGTCATGGCTGAGCAAAGTCTGTCTTCTTGTTGAAGCAAACACAAGTAGAAATTAATTAAGCAAATGCAAATTAATAATTGTTATGATGAAATACTGCCTTTAGAGTTGTGAAGGCAGATTACCTGGATTCATGTAGGCTGCTTGTATTGTAAAGAGAATATCTGTTGTCCCATTTACATTTTTGTAATTATTTATTTCGAGTCTTAAATTTTTCTTTGTTACTTATATCGGTTAAACAAAAGATCTTCAAGATTTCTTGATAATAATCATGTTATTATGCATGCATCATTATATTAAAATAGACACTATGGGCAACTTGGTTTTCTCCTCCTACTATTTTCATCTTCATCCGAGGTATTAGATATATATGTAACCTTTTTTCTACAAGCACCTTATTGTTATTATGTTCCAAAATAAACGTGGAATCTGGATTTTTCTTCTTTTTTTTTTTTGTGGACTTTGATTTTCCTTCCGATTAGTTACACTTTCGTTTTTATAAATAAAAAGCTTCAGAAGAAGTTGTAAAAGGGTTTTAAGAAGATTTTAGAAAGATTTTCTAAATATATCTTTTTATTTTAGTGTTTAAAAAAAAAATAAAAACTGATAAATCTTTTTAATAAAGGTTTAATATATCGATTTTTAGTTAGCTGAAATATGAGTATATAATATATAGATCATCTAGAATATGTGTTTACATATTATTATATAGTCCATAGTGTTTTTTTGTATACTGTATATTAAGAGATAACCTCTAATATCTCTTAAGAATGTATAAGGCAGTGTAATAACAATAACAACAAAACTTAACTTGTTATTTAATACCATTGTTTACTGTACATTGTTATAACACTATACAATGTACATAGTTCACATACTAGCTAGCTAGTTCTCTCCATTTATATAATCCGTGACAATTCAAGTATGTAGGTATTATTACATTTGTTATTAATCGAGGAAAACTATGAGCTTAATTACACAACAATTCGAATGTTTAGATCTTTTGAGAGATGTTCTTAAACGAAGGAACATGTTGGCTTATTGACAGCCATCAAAACATTCATCATATCATTATCATGCCTAAAGTTCAACTCCAAAACTTATCTCCTTATCTCCTTATCTTTTTGTAAGAGAAAGTAAAAGAGTTTTGTGTCCAAGTAAAAAGAAATTGTTTGTGTCCAAGTAAAAAGAACTGTTATTAATTTTGTCAGTAATGTGTTTTGTGTATCATATCTGTAATCTCTGCTGATGTGGCTTGCCAGCTAGGTGAGCTATCAAAAGCAACAGTTTAAATTATTGATAAAAAGCGCACGACCATCCATATTATATTGATTTTGTAGGATTTCTATAGTTTATGACTTATGATATTATTATATTTACATATTGCTATATCGAGTTATAAAAATAATTTCTCAAAAAAGATACGGTTCATAGAATGGCCACTTCATTGCTTTGGTTGTTGAAACGTTGATATTCTTCCTTCATGTTCATCAAACCCAACCAGATTCTCCTAACCTTACCAGCTTCATTATTACCTCATTATAGTCCTGTCACTTTTGTAATTCATTTAAAATTTGGTTGTTTATTTAGAACAACAAAAATAATTTCGAAATTTATGATTTGTTTATGTAAATAAATCACAAAGATATCATATAGTAGAATGGCCTATCATTATATTTACCATGCTATTTGGATTGTAGTACTCCAGTTTGGCTCAGTCCAAATGTTGAATTTGATTAACATGTAAGATGTGTTTTTGAGTATTTGTTGAAAAAAAAAACACATGTAACAAAAAAGTAGTAATTAAATCACCAGTAACTGACAAGAAACAACTTATAAATGGGTTCATCAGAAAGGAAAAAAAACAACAACTTATAATGCGTTCAATACCTCTTCTTATGGATGGTGCAATGAGTAAATTGTTAATATAGAACATCTTTAGTATTTGTCATTATAAGTTTTGGATCCAATGGTCAGGAATTCTAAGTGGCATTTAATTTGATTCTTTAGATGATTTCCGTAACATACTAACATATGTCTAATTTCATACCCAAAAAAATCATAAATCCTTTTATATAGATTAAAGGAAGAGTAATGCTGCGATTTTTTTTGGTAAGAAGATCGAGTAATGCTGCGATTGAAAAATTGAATATAATTTTTAGCAAAAATTTTTTTGAAGATAATAAAATTATACATGATTCCAAGTTTTGGCCTTTTAAAATGTTTTAAACGAAATGACTAGTAAAGGGGTGATTAACCTTAATTCACTCTGCCGACATCATTAACAAAACTAATAAAATATTGAAGTAATGCTTAATAATCTCGCCATCGCATTAGAATAAATGGAATATTCTTGCAGATTGAAAAAAAAGAATATTCTAAATTATCAAGAGCTAAACTAACAACGGATTCTCTGAGTAATAATTATATGTATAAGTAAAGAAAACTTAATAATGACACCAAAAATAATAAAAATTCGCCTGTCATGTTAGAATGCGACCCTAATCCGGAAGATTGGTTGATATGATAATATGCATGGGTGTCACAAAAAAGTCGGAAAAACAAAGCTTTATCATCAGAAAAGTAAATAAAAATGATCGTTACTATTAAAATATAGTTATAACCAACTTCATAAATTTTGAACACACTAATTCTAGAAATTCTTGTCAATGTGAATAGACTGGGTCCATTGAAGGGTAATTCGTTTACATCGCATAATTAGAGTATACTTACAAGATTAAAAATGTAAATATTATTACGTAGGAGCATACGTGTTTTGTCGTCTTTTCCCAAAGTGGTTTAAAACTAACGACGTGTTCACTTGCGATATTTGACTCATAAAACTAGCTTCTGAGCAACCTTAATGGTAGGCTCTTAATTTTGTCTCTTAACTATTATTATGAATTGTTTTATTGAAAAAAATTATAGCTAAAAGCTTTTGTAATGGTTTGAAGCTCTTAAACCTTCTTTTATCTCTTAGCTAAGGAACTCTTCTAAACTATTCACATATTATTTTGATTATATTATACCTAAGATTTATAGTAAGAGACTTGCAATGAGGATGGTCTATTAATTAGCTTCTCTTGTACGGATGCATACAATATATTTTGGTCCCACTATATCATAAAATGGACCGTAGTATCTAGGCCATTTCGTGAATTTTATACATACGCGTATATGGGTGTCGGTGTACGTGAAATATAGTCAAAGTTGACGTTGGAGTTTGGGAGAAGGAACATGGAGCTCCACTGGTTTCTATGTTGATGATAGTTATGCCACACATCAGATTATGATAAATGTAGAAGTTGTTAAACTTTAGAAGTCAAAGAGGATAAACCATAAACCGGTTTCTTAATAAATATGATTTCTATATATGTAGATGATAGTTATACGGTTATACCAAACAAACACATCATTTTCGTTATGTAATAAATATCGTTATGGATTGTTGTTTTCGTTTATTAAATGCTATTGCTTTGATAGATTTTAAAAATGAAAGTCTTCGTATTTGATAGATAATATTATATTAATAAAATGATAATTATAACAAAACGTAGGAATGTATATTTTTATCAAGAATAATTTTTAGAAAATGACTCAATAAAACCTAACATTAGGACAACTAAAAGTAGAATAGTAATAATAAAAATTAAATTTGACTATAACGAAAAAAATAAGTAAAAATGAAGACGTTGCAAGTTTATGAAGGATTAATGTAAAATCGGCGAGTGGGTCAGCGATAATTCCATTTGTGATGGAACGTCCCAAAGTTCGAGACGCATCATGTGATTGTGCTGTGTGTACCTCATATGCGCATGTATGATACTAACGTGTAATTGTAGTGTGTGGCTTATATGTGCATGTAAATTTCTTTCTATATAATCGTAAGTTTCTGAATCGAATTAAAAGTCCATGAAGTCGATGATCCAAGTTGACTATATTTTTATAATCACATAAAACTTTTAGAGTAGTCGACAATAATTAAAACCGCCGTAAAAGTATGAATTTTAGTTTTTTTTCCAAAATTTTCAAATCAATGAGTTATCATAAATTAATTTAAGCAGATATGTAAGTTACTGCGTATAAATACTAAAATATATATGTATATATATGTATATGTGTGAGTGTGACTGCTTTATTTGTGTTTTTAATTTGGGATATACAGAAATAGTATAGTATCTAACTCATGTAACACGTACTTGCATGAGACATATAACCACGTAAAATTGGAGATGATCTTATAATTATGGATCATACCAAATTGTATATTAACCTAATCAGCATCAAATCAAAAAAGCATAACAAATCACATATCGCCATTTAAAAAATTATAAACCAAAGCGGTTTACAAGACCAAAATAAATTAACAAAAATCCACCATTACAAGATATTTTTTTATGGTTCTAAATTTGGATGTCTATCTTTTTGTAAACTTCAGTGTCTTATTTTGAATGGAAACAAAAATACAGAAAAACCTATCATACAAATGCTGACCTCATAAAGACACATCAACAGTGTTTGTGGGTCTGCGACCAATCATATATATGTGTAGTATATCAGCTCTTATATAATTTCGCTCTATATATATATAAATATAATAATTATATTATACGTATTTTTTATTTTTAAAATTATTTTATAGGTTTGAGAAAAAGATATGTAATTTATTCTTTATTTAAAAAAACCCTGATAACCAGAAGTTTACAGACAAATTCTTTTAATAACGCAATTTATAATAATCAGAA